TTCTCACACATGCTATCTTGTTAAAGGTTAAAAGTGAAAGTGAATTTCAACAATAATAGTTTTAATTTGAAACCCTTGGCAAGAGCTCCTCATCTTCTGGAATCCCAGGAAGAAGAAAAAGCAGTCATGTACAAGTAAGCCTCTCTTTCCATAGCTTTGTTCTTCTTTAATTTATGATGCTTGGCTGTGTTTCCATTGCCTGCCGTCCTTTTAAGTAGCTGGAGTCAGTGCCAAGGCATACACCAGACTCTTGTGGCCAGGTGTCAGGCAATTCCCACCACTGTGTCTAGGTGAGGTGGTAGATTTTCTCAGCCTTTTCTGGTTTTAAAGAACAAGCAGTTAACACATTCAGAAATAACAAGCACAGACATAGAAAAAATTTGTTAACGACTCACATTAAAGTTAAAGGTTAGGAGATTTTTAATTGAATTGGAGTGATAAAAATGGAATTTTGGACTAGATTTGGTGGGTAGTGGCTATTACAATATTGTGCCCAGAGTGAAGAGAGGGTGTAAGCAGAAAAGTGGTACACACACAACTGTGTGTGTAACATGGGGAATCATCTCAATTTACCATTTATGGAATTAAAAATAACAGGTTTCTCTGCATAGTTACATAACTTGTTAAGCATCTGATTAAAAGTAATGAGATCCCTCAAACATTGCTAAAGAGAAATGTGAAACATTGCAGCAACTTTGGAAAATAGTTTGGCAGTTTCTCAAAATGTTAAACATTAAATTACCAAGTGACCCAGCAATTCAACTCTTAGGTTTCTATCCAGGAGAAATGGAAATGTATGTGCATATAAAGACTTGAATATGAATGAGTGTTCATGGTAGCATTATTCACAATAGTCAAAAAGTGGAAGCCACCCAAATGTTCATCAGATGGTGAATGGATGAACAAAATGTGGTACATCCATATATAGAACATTATTTAGCAATTAAAAGGAAAAGAAATACTTATGGATGAATTTCAAAACTGTTATACTCAGTGAAAGAAGATAATCACAAATTTGATTGATTCTATTTCTATTTATATGAAATGTCCATAAAAAGCAAATTTATAGAGACAGGAAGTTGATTATTGACTTCTTAGGGCTGGGGTTGGGAATGGAGTGTGATTATATGAGGTTTTTGGACTGATAGAATGTTCTAAAATTAGGTCGTGGTGACGGTTGCACAACTTTGTAAATCTAAAAATCACTGATTTAAAATTGGTGAATTTTATGGTGCATAAATTATACCTCGGTGAAACTGTTGATAATAATTTAAAAAGAACTGAGCAAGTGGAGGATAAATGAGCTTATAAGATGTTTAGTAGGTTGACCTACAACTCTCTGTTCCTAAAAAACCCCCAGATAAGCTGCAGTAGTTTCCTTTCGTCTGAATAAGCTCAGAATTTGATGAATAAATGAAGTAAGGCAGAAGCCAGAAGGCTTTTAGAGATGCTTTATTTTGGCACGTCCAGCAGAGAGAACAACTAATAGCCTTATGGGGGTCTTAGTGACTTAAAGTAGAAACTGATGACTGTTAGAGATGGTGCTGGCCGTTGTGGACTTCTCAGTGTCCTTGAGGTGTGGTTTAACACATTCCTGCTTTTTTGAATGGGAGCTGAAATTGAGGGGTAATCGAAAGTGCTGAAACTAAGCCCTATTCACTCGGAGGCTGAAGTCCTTAACAGATGGAATGATTGAGCATCACTCGTATAGTAGGCTCCAAACGTGTAACCTTGTTTATAGTCATTGTAGACAGACAGTCGACAGACCTGTTTGGGTCAGGCTTTAGGATAATAAACATCTCAATCCTATGTAATTTCTATACATGGTATAAAAGGAGGGGTTTTGTCCTTAAATATCTTATAGCAAAATATGACTCAGATATGAAGGAGAATATTGCATTGTTGGAGTACCTAGGGGCTTATATTTTAAACTAGAGGCTTAAGTTTATGAGTTCCAACTGAAAGAAGAAGGAAGATTATATTATCTTCCCTGAATTGGGGAAGCATCCCGATCATGGCATTGGGTTGGAAAAGGCGTGTTTTCCTTGACAGAGTTAGACCTTCCTATGGGAGGCACAGTGGACAATTTTCTGAGGGTCCATTTACACCGAAGGACCCTCACTCAGCTGTTTGATTAAGCAGCAGTGAGATTTCAGATGAAAATGTTACTAGAGCAAGGTACTGCTATTTAGTTAGGTTTCTTTTTCATAAAAAACGTATAAATTCATGTAGAACTCATCAACTTCAAATTTAAATAAAATATTAAAAGCTACAATTGAGTTGATAGTCAGAATTCTTTCCTTTCTAGTTCCTCCCTACAGAAACACAGGGTCATCCTTTTTGGAAAAAGAACCTCTGTGTTATCAGGAGGGAAAGAATCCAAGTCCCAAAGAGGCCAGCTCTAAAGAGCACTTCTCCTCCTTGAATCTCAGCCAGGAGATGGACAGGGATGAGGACCAGGACGCAGTAAGAGCTGGCATAGTCTCATTTTGCAATACATAAGGCAGCAATTGCTGGCCCTGAGCAGCCAGGAACTTCTCTGTATGGCAGGCTTCCCAGAGGAGAGGAGGGAGCAGACTACTCCTCCCACCCCGACCCCACCCCAAAACAGGGCAAGGAAGTGAGCTGAAGAAACTGCGGCAGGGTTCCTTTATTCAGAGGGAATGGAGAGAGTCGTTCCTGGGAGCTGCACAGTTGGAGGTGCCCTCTGGGTGGCGGACTGTAGGATTTCCTAGCTCCTTCTACTGAGTTTTTGCCCTTCTTCTGTCCCTCCACCAACTCTACCATCTCTCTGCCATTTACCAGTTATCACTATCATTTACCAAGCCCGGCCCCAAATTTTGTTCCCCTTAATTCAGCCAGGAAAGGCAAACAAATTTCAAAAGGACCATATACTAAATTAAAGTAGTAAAATTTTAAAAGTAAAATAAAAGCCCCCAAATGTAAAATGTATAGAAATACTGATGTTCGCAGAGCACATATTTCTCATCCTAAGGTAACTATAGTGAAACTTGGCGCCATTTGACTCATCGAGCCTACGCTCCTGCCTCCAGGTCTAGGTGCCACTTCCCTTCGGTTCTTTTCTCCACACCCTGTGTCCTGTCCCAAGTCTCTGGAGTGTAGCTTCTTTTAGGAGTGGATTTGAAGGAGTCACAGCCTATCCTCCCCATCTCCCAGTTAGAATTCAGTAGGGAAATGGTTTGTTAGTCTGAGTATACAGTTAGTCTTTCCATCATTCTTTTCTGATTGTCTCCACTTCCCCACTCCTACCCCTAAAGGATAAAGGAGGTGCTTTATTACTAGCTCATGGGAAATGTATTAAAACTTAATTTTGTGGTTTAACTCATTTAACTGTCCTCCTACGTGCCTGCTTGCTTTCTTCCTCAAATTTTAACAAGCACTGACCCTGAGCCAGGCAGTGTTTTAGGGGCTGGAGACTAGTGATAAACAAAACAGATAAATCTCTGGTCTCAAGGAGCTTACACTTTGGTGGAGGAGACAGACAGACAAACAAATGAATAATATATCACTTGAGCTACTAATAAGAGCAAGAAGGAAAATAAAACAGGAAGATAGTCAGGAGGACTATCCAACAGAACAGGTTTAAATGGACAGTAAGGAAAAAAAGTAAGTTGCTTTATAATCATACCCTACAAACCCTTCTTATGCATTGTACAGGTTGTGGGTATCTTGATATATGCAGCCCCAAGCAGGATTATTCCTTACTTGTGCATATCTGCCCCTCATCTTCCAAATGTGCTTTCCTTCCAAATCTCCCCTAGTTCAGGGAATAGTACTATAGTCCAAAAAGGACCCTCAGGACACAAATCTAGGAGTCATTTTTAATTTCTTGCTTTTACTCAGCCCCCATGTCTTATAGGTAACAAGCACTGTCAGAGCTTGTTCACTTCTTAGTTCCTCACTGCTACCACTGGTTCAAGCAACTGTGGTTTTACCTGACCAGTGCACTAGCCTCCCAGCTGATCTTCCTTCTGCTCTCACCCTGTGTAATCAGTTCTCCATGCAGCACCATATCTTTTAAAAATGTTAATTAGTTCAGAATTCTCCCCTGCTCAGAACCTTCTCATAGCTCCCCTCACACTTTGTGTTTTATGCTGACTCCATAACATGGACTCTGACCCCCATATGATGGGCACCTGTCTCCTCTCCATGCTCATCACCCACCTTTCTCTCCACACTCACTGTGCTCCAGCCTCACCGCTTTTTCTTGTTTTGTGAACATACCAGCCTCACTCCCACCTCAGGCTTTTGCCTCTGCCAGTCCGTCTGCCTGGAGCACTCTTTCCCCAGATCTCTGCATGTCTCACTCTCTCAGGTCACTCTGACCTCTGCACAGACATCATGTTGTTAGAGAAGGCTTTGCTAACTTTACTTAAAATAGTCTCGTCATCCATTCCTTTAACCTCCTACCCCCTTTACCTGTGGAGAGGTGGGATCCTGGACTCATCTGGAGGTCAGGACCATCCATCCATTATAAGAGGAAGGACACAGTGCATGGATACAGATGAAGCCAGCTTGGTGAATGAAGCTTCTTCTGATTACTTCATTTTCTTAACGAAGTCAGAAGGTCATCCATCAGCTGATAGTGAAGGTGGAGGACAGAGATTTATAATTTTGAAAAGAAAAGGGAAAAAAGGAACCTAGGATTTTATAAATCACCATAATCCTAGTGTAAATTATCAGTCCAGACATATTGACAACTGAAAGCAGGACCATACGGGGTCCTCACATGGTATCTCACATCAGTGGTCTACCCCACCTATAATAGGGCTGGCTCTGTCCCAGAATCTGTGTGCTTCTGAATCCATAGAGTGAGGAGAGGCTGAGTCAGGAGGTTTGAGTGGGGACCCTGCCTGCGAGTCACTCAGCTCTGACAGGAGGACTAGGCTTCAGGAGATGAGCTCACCTGAGGAGAGGAATTCTTTCTGCTCTTGTAAACCTGTCATCCCTTAACTCTCTTCTTCTGTCACTTTCAAAAGGTTTTAGCAACCAAGGAGCTCATACCCTGATCGTTTACTGGTAAAAGAGGGCACAAAAGAAGGCTGCTTCAAGGAAGCCATCTGCCAGCAGGAGTCATTCAGGATGAGGACCAAGGAAGGCCATGGAGAAATGTCCTGTGTCTAAGAAAAGCGTCTGCAATAAACTTCACTTAATGTTTGAGTCCGGTGTCTGTGTGATAGCTAAGAAATGGCATTACCATAAATTGGCAGTTACTGCAAGTGTGTTTTCCCCAGAAATATTGCCTGAAAGATACAGTAGAAATGCTAATAGCTACCTTACTTAGCACCCAGCTCAATTCACTGGGTCTTTCCCTTAATTAAGTCAGGTATCCTTAAAATCCACACCCACATATTCTCTGCAGGTTTTCCCAACCGCCTTTAGAAAATTTAAAATTTTATTTTGAGTGTGATTTCCCACTTGCTGATTCTGATTCTGCCTATCACCCTCTGGTTTATGCTGAGTTTGACTCTTAGTCACAGGAAGATCCAGTGGGACCTAGCGCACAGGAGAAATTTTGTTTTCCTCAGGCAAAAAGGGCACTGAAAATCACTCCCCTCTTCTACTTGTAGCCGTGCAGCATACAGATAAATTCGAAATTCTCTTTAGTATTAATTTACATGACCTCAGTTTATTTTAATTAAAACAAGGTGGCGTCGGATCAGTCTGTTGAAGACCCCCCAGGGCGCGGCCTCACGTGGGCGGAGGGGCTGGGGGCCCAGGGGATGGGGCCCGAGCTCCCCTCCTCCCTGAATCAGAGGTGTAGGGAGGGGATGGGGAGAGGGGCGAGGGTCTGAGCACAGTGCTTTGATTTGTTTTTAAAAGGAGCTCCTTTTTACCTCCCAGAACAGTCTGCTGCTGGCCTGGAGCCGGAGGTGGGGGAGTAAGCGGCCACCCAGACCTGAGATCACCCGGAGTTCGTCCCGGGGCAACCCCTCCGGCCCTCCTTGGTGGTAGTGGTGCCCGGAAACCTGCAAGGTGTTGCCTGACTAGGTCCAAAGGCCACAGGTTGGGTAGACCTAATCACCCCCTTTTTGAGCGCTCTTAGGGACGCTCAGGATTTTTTTGTTTTAGTTACCTAGACTAGGAAGTGGCAGAGCAAGGATTCAAACCCCTTTCTGAACCCAAAGGCCTTGCTTTTTCAACTGTAATCGCCTAAGTTTCCTCGATTGACTCTGTCCCTTCAGGGATTCTGTTACTTACGGCTGCCACGAAGACGTCCAACTATAATGAACATTTTGGGCCAGAACAATTAAAGAAGTGGCCAGAGCCCGAGTCAGTGGCTTTGATGGAGGTAAAGTAATGCGGCATTTGGGGGTGCTCTTTTTGGTGGTGGGATATGAATCCCTTGAGCTTTAGGAACTAGTGTGTCTTTTTTTTTTTTTTAACATTTTTTATTGATTTATAATCATTTTACAATGTTGTGTCAAATTCCAGTGTTACTAGTGTGTCTTAATCACAGTTGTTTTCCTCAGAGCTAGAGCAGCACCTGGCATAGACTTGGCGCTCAAAAAATTCGTTGAGTGGGAATGGCCTGGGATCAGATTTGGCCCAGTGTGGCTCTAGTGTTTTCCTGTGGCGGTGTGGGGTCAGGGCTGCGACCCAGCGGCAGTGCGTAAACACAGTAGTCCTCGAGCTCGCCCTGCAGGAGGAGCCAAGTCTGGGCTTGCCAGTTAATTCTTGGTACTTTAGGGCCTGGTAAAGCAAAGATTTTTTTCATAAAGAAAGTTTCATTGTTTTATGTGACACTATAACCTTCTTCTCTGTAAAGAGAAGCTGTTGGATAGTTCTTTTATTTTACTCTTTTTACTGTGGTGATTTATAGTAAGAGTGGTGTATGTGTGTACAGAAAGCTGTGGATTTCAAAAGTGCTGCTAGAAATCATTAACATCCTCCTTACGTTTTCTGACAAAATCACCAAGGAGAAGCTATGAAAGACAAAATCTGCCAATTTCCTTAAGCAAAAAGAGGTGGTTTAAAAATCTGACACGTGACCAATGGTATGTATAACATTTGGTAGTAATGTTAATAGGATGGCTGAAAAAAGATGATATCCCAAAGTGATTGCCAAAGAGTATGTTTCTGCTTCTCCAGATACATAGATTGATTTATTCTAAATTTGTGTTGTCGAATCGGGGAAAATGTTTAATTGTTTTACATGATTTTTCAATTGCATTTTAAAATAAGTGTACGAAGGCTTTGTTTTGAACCAAGATTCTGTTTATTATTATCAAGAGAGTTTTATTTTGGAGAAAACCCTAGTAGCTGTCTGAATATCATTTTACATTTCATGTGACTCTGTTAAATATGTGAGTAAAAATACAACTCTCTTTTGAGATTTCTCTTATTCATAGTCGTGGAATTTGAGTTTGGGGTTTAGTTTATTTTCATGCACTCACTGTGGCAGCAGAACTGAAAGAAGAGCCAGAGATAGAGTAACATAATTTTAAGAACCTGTATCACCTTACACTAGTCAATTCTTTTAGGTAACAGCATTCTCTTCCAGACACTGAATTTTTATTGTTTTTCCATTTGTCCCCACTTAGTTGTGTGAGAATAAAAGCTGGGAAGATCAGTTCATAGTGATCCAAATGACAATCCCTTAAGTAAGGATTTAAGTGCATCAGCTTGACCCAAACTTGTAATGGAAACAGCAAAAAAGACCTAGCTGTAAGACAGTCTTGGTCTTCTGCCAGGAGCCACCAACTGACTGGCTTGGACCAGTCGAACTAAATCAGATTCTCTGCAGTTTTGACGTATAAAGAGGTTTTGAATTATAAAGAGACCCAGCAGAAGTCAGGAAGCTTCAAGGGCCTTTTAAAACATACCTCCTGAATGTCTGTACAGAGGCTTTGTTTTGTAGAGGAGCCCTTTACTTAGAAAACTTTATTGGTACTTTGAACATAAAGGTGTGATGTAAGGGACTTGTTTCAAAATAATCTGGGTAAGGGTCAGCGGAGTGAGTAGGGATTTAGATGAAATAAGATTAAGTTGATAATTGTTGAACCTGGGGGAAGGGTTCATGGAGAAGAACTGTGTTTGAAATTTTCCAAAATAAAGAGTTACAAAATATGTTTTGAGGTACAGATGTTAGATTCACACTAAAGCTATTGGTAAAATACACTGAGTTTTGTCACTGATTTGCTTCTTCAGGATTTACATCCTACTATTTAATTCTATAAACATTTAATTCTAATATATAATTCTGTAATTTTAGGTGTTGGCTAGAGAAGATATTGATAAAGCTGTACATGCAATATTATTTAGAGATAATTGTGTTGTAAAGGTAACAGTTGGCTACAGACTGTGGATTCTAAGTGTGTTCTAGGTATGCAAGAGTGATGCAGAGCAGTGTCACCAAGAGGTTTTTACTGTGTCAAAGAGAGTCACTTTGCTGGGAGAATGAGCCTCCTCTGAATCACTCATTTATACTACAGAGATCTGAGATTGCACCATCTCCTTGCAGAAGTACTAAGAGGTTGGAATTCTCAGTTCTATCCTTAAGGGATCTGAGAGATTGTTCTAACTGCTCCCTCTCTTTGTCCTGGAACTGAATAGAATTTCTTTCCTAAAATTTACCTCTCTCTCATACGTTCCCACATCACAGTGAGGTTATATAAAGCCATGAGAAATGAATGAGTATTTAAGGGTAATGGCCAATCAGTGCTGATCGTCACTATGGAATTAATAAATTTAAGGAGGTTTTAATCTCAGTGAGAAGAACTGAAGTTTGGTGTTTAATGATACTTAAACATTTGTACTGTGACATAATTTATAAAGGAAGTTTAATATATTCTCATTTGAGCATCAAAAGAGGTAGGTGGGATTACTCTCCTTTCATAGCGTCAGAGAGAGAGGTGTTGAAGTGTTTAGTCCTCTTTTTCCTGTACTACTTTTATCACGGACTTTACTGATGATGAAGGCTGGGGGCATGGAATGTGTGACCAGGGAATGCTTTGAATCCTTAAAAAGAAGCAGCATGAAGTAGGAATGATTTGGATGTAGTTTAATCTGAAGACACAGTTGTGGTATAGAACTGCTCATGGGGTCTTCCTGCTCTAGGCTCCCAGATTCCCTTTCTGAACTTTATTCTTTTCTTTAATTATCATATGCTAGGATTTTGCAGCCCAAATATGCTGAGAGCTTAGGAGTGGAAACAAGTGTTTTTCCCCCTGATTCAAGTGAAAATAAATGGAGAACTTCTTAATCATTTGTTTTCCTCGTTTGTATCACTTCATTAGAGATTGGATACGTATTTTCAGCATCTGGATGTTTTTAAGGAAAGAAGGAAAGAGATGTTACACAAGAAATGGACTGAAAATGTCGCAAGTCCTCTTCAGAGAATTGTGGAAAAAGTAATTTCATATAAAGGGTTGGAAAAAACAAAACGAGAATTTTGAGTATTTTTTGAAACACACAAATAAAACGGTACTGAGAGTTTTTTTCTTTTAACAAAGTACAATTTGAAAAGTTGGACCAACATTTTCATTGATTATGTGAACAGTCCCAAATTTATTTTTGTATTTAAGATGAATTCATGGAGCTGTAATACAGCCTACTGCATTTTTAAACCTGGAGTTCCGGATAGCAGGAATAGAAGTGCTGATTTGGAACTAGACTTATCAGGACTGCTTTTAGGTAAATGTTAATAGAATAACAGTGGCTTAAACCATAAGGACATTTATTGGTTACTCAACAAGAAATAGAGGGGTAGGTGGTCTCATGGTGGGTTCTGGCAGCATAACAACATCATTAATCACCCAGGTTTTTTTTTTCTATCTTTCTATTCTGCTATCCTGAATATTTTCAGTGTATGCCCATCACCCTCACTTTTGTAAGCATGTTTGGTTGCTTCAGGTCCAGGTATTAGGTCTGTGTTCAGGACAAGAAAAAGGGATAAGGAATAATGTCAGGAGACCCTTTTCTTACACCTCATCCTTTGATCAGGAAGCAAAAAGAGTCTCCAGAAACTCCTAGCAGATTTCCCTTGAGGTCTTACTGGCCATAACTGGGTCACATCTCAAGTCCTAGCCAGAAGCCAGGGAAGAGTGTGGCTTTCCATTCTCTCTAGTAGATGTAGGCAAGAGAGAAGGGGATTCCATGGCTGTGGAGTTAGCCAACTATTAGGTGAAGGGACCACCAATTTCTACCCTCTGCACTTCAGTTTGGGTTTACACAACAAGAACACAATTTTGGCTTCTTCTGTGGAAGATTTTTCTGTTTTAACTTTGAGATCAGGACCCTCTTTTGAAATTGGAGCCCACCCAAATTTCCAGGGATTCAGTAGAGGTCTAAAGTAATTTGACTGGAATGTTAGAGCTTTTAGGTATAATTTACTGAGCAAAATATCTGGATGTGCTTCCAGAACATTTGTGGATGTGCTTCCAGAAAATACTTCCTAAATTCCCTGAGAGGCAGAGCTCAAGGTTGAATCCAAGTCTCTTTGAAACCAAAAGTACGCGTCGTACAAGTCTGCCCAGACATGTGATCGCACAAATGTAGGATGGGGAAGCCATGCCTTAGAAAAGCCATGTGTTGAAATCCAAGTTATTTTAAATGACAGTAAATTGAGTGTGAGTCAGCCATGTGAGCTGGCGTCCAAGAAACCACCACCCAAGCTCTCAGGCTGGACAGAGAGGGGAGCATCAGGTCCAGTCTGTCCACCCTGCGGCTGTCTCGTCACTCCTGATTCACATTGCAGATGGGACAGTCACCAGAACCTTAAGAGGAAGGTGGAGTCTTGACAGCATTTCACAGGAGGAAGAGTGGAAAGAAATACAGCGTATTTAGCTCCAGGAGGAGATGACTTGAGTACATGTATAAAAGGCTAACATGCAGACGAAGAGTAGATTTATTTTGTGTTGCTTCCAGAGGGAGAACTGGCAATGACAAGACAGATTCAGCTCTGTCTTAAGGACAGACTTCCTGGTGGTTAGAATGACCCATAGACTACCTGCCTCATGGGGCAGAAAGTTCCCAAACTAAGGCTAGTTGATGACCTGAGTTTAAAGCTGGATGATTACTTCTCCCCAAAGGTGGTGGACTCCCATCACAGTCTGAATTACTTCTGAGATTTCTTCTAATCTTCTGAATCTATGATTTCATATAAAAATGGAATAAAGTATTTGGCTGTTTTGGATCTTGGAGAATACATTTGTATGTAGTGGTTTGCTCTTAAGTGTACTTTTTTTTCCCCTAAAGGAAATTATGCTTGGAGACTTTTATGACCCTGAAGTGTACGATCCTTTTTATATGACAAAAAAGGACCCAAATTATGGAAAGGTTAGCAAGTTTCATACTTTTATCTATTTTATTCTTAGAAGCTCTGAGCTAGGGGAAAACCTGTTCATTTTAGAAGTCTTGTAGTTTTTCTACATTTAAAGAGAAATCCACAAAAGCATTTCCCTTGAGTTTTGGAATAGCAACCCAAAGTAATTTTGGCTGCTTGAGAGTTGACATTGTGAAAAAGGCCCTTGCCTGTGTGTGATAATTGGTTCATTCATTCATTCAACCATCCACTCACATTCAGCAAACTGGGAGCCCAGGAGGGAGGGGACAGAGGGTGTGATGAGAATGTCACAGAACCGTGACAGTGAGCACTCCTTTCTCGGGAAGGTGGGAGGAGGGATGGCAGGACAGGCTGCCCAGGGAGCCAATAGGTGAGCTTGTAATGAGTCTTCACATTTTAAACTGCCAATAAATATACGCATTAAAACTTGGGACTTGGGGTTCAGGTTTTTACTCCTGTGTAGCAGAATTAGCCACCTTATGTTGCTATTGATTTAAAAGATGTGTGCATCTCTGAAGAGAGAAGTGATTTATTTTGCTTCTCCCCAAAAACCAAGGCAGATCACGATTGTGAAGACAGGAAGGTTCTTTGCGCTCTGACTTTCTGAGTATTGTGCTGGGCAGTCATTATGCTGCCTCCTTATTCAGTGGCTGTTTTTCCCTTGCAAACAGCATTTGGGTCAAGGTCAAGTATGTAGGGAAGTAAAGAGGGGGAAGCGATCCCTCTGTCTAAAGTTTATAATCAGGTTGGGGGAGGAGAAAGCCACCTTCCTCCACGATCTCTGCATGCCTGCCCCGCCCCTCAGCACACCGATGTTCTCACAGGCTCCCCGCAGGGGGCGCCCTTCCTCCCAGACCAGCTTAGAGTTCTGCCTTGTGTACTTTGAGCTGATGCCTCTCATGACCAGATGGTCGTTGTCTGCCACTCATCTGTTCTAGATGCAAGATCCCCGAGGACAGGACCTCACGGGCATGCAGCACACGGCATCAGCAGATGTGTATTGACTGATGCAGTGACACTGGGCAGCCCTCACTGCAGTCAGCCACGTATGGCTCAGTGAAATACCCTAGACTGAGGCGGGTGGCGTTTAACCTTACCCGGCTCCATGTCACCTTATTCCTGGGTCCTTACACTCATCTGCTTCGGTGTACAGTAAGGCCACACTCCAATGCTTCTGACAGATTTGAAATGTTTAGTACAAATCATACTCAGGTCCTCAGAGTCATTTTTCTCGCAGATTACCGTGCCTCTGTTCTATGATCCTCTGCTTAGAAGACAGGGAGGCACTGCTGAAGAGCAGAGAGCTGTTCTTCCGTACAAGACAGGTACTTTGTGATCGTAGGACTTTGTCTTCCGAGATGTCCAATTGTCAAGTGATTTCCTACCCCCAAGAGTGACTAGCGTTGATGTTAAGTGTTGATTTGGGTTTTTAATCTTCCTGTAGGAAAATGATGTACCTTAAGAGAATTTAAAGAACTAGAGAAGGCCAGGCAGTGTGCCAGACTGCCCCAGTTCATTTCCACTCTCCGCAGCGTGGTTCCAAAAGAGAAGCCCAAAGCCTCTGTGAGACCCGTGGGGAGCAAAACCCAAGTCACATGCAGGTAAAGGTGCGCTAACTGACGGGTCTTTCTACTGTCTCCACAGTTCTGCCTTTTGCAGAATGTCGTATCGTTGGAATCCCACAGTTTGTAGCCTTTTCCAGGTTTTACCTGCATTCTTAAAGGCTGTTCTCACAGGATTAAGAATGTTAGGTTGCTGGATATTTTCTTTCAACGTATGTCATGTCCCACTGTCTTTTACTCTTTCAGTCGCCTGACTTACTGCTGTTCCTTTGAAGATAGTTGTCTTTTTCTCTGGATGCTTTTAAGATTTTCTTGTTACCTTTGATTTTTGGCAGTTTTCGTTGATGTTCCCATGTGGATTTCTTTTTATTGATCCTGCTTGGGATTCACGGGTCTTCTTGTAGCTGTAAAGTGATGTCTTCAGTCAGTTCTGGGAAGTTCTCATTAATTTCCTCTGTGATTGTTACCTCTGCCGTAATTCTTTCTCTCTATTCTTTCTGAGACTCTAGTTAAACACATCTTAGATTTTCTCACTGTATCTTCCCTGTCTCTTACCCCTTTCTTGTATATTTTCCATCCTTTTGTTGCTCCATATTTGATTCTAGGTATTTTTTTTACTAATTATTGCTTCAGTTGTGTCTAATAATCTGTTGTTAAACTCATCCATTGAGTTCTTATTTTCAGTTTTATTTTTATACTTCTAGTGTTTTATGTGGTTTTTTTTTTTTTATGTGGTTCTTTTTCAGATAGGCTTTGGGGAAAGCTGTCTGTACTCAGGGCGAAGAGGGTCTTTGCTCCCAACAGGAGAACCTATCCCAAGTGTCATGCTCAACTTGCCCCCCAGGTGGTGGTGGCGATGTTCAGAACAGGGTTAACTACCCACCCGCCAGGGCCTTGGAGGAAAAACCCACCAAGAGATACTCTGGGAGCGTGGAGGAATCGGTCCCTGCTACCTGATGTTGGCCAGAGCTCCCGTGGAAGAAAGTAGGCAGAGACTGACAGCTCACTCTGGAAGGGCTCTCTCCTCTCTGGAGTTGTTTCCGCTGCTATCCAATGACTTTAAAATTGTGAATTTTGAGGGGAGGGTATAGCTCAAGTGGTAGAACACATGCTTAGCAGCATGAGGTCCTGGGTTCAATTCCCTGGTACCTCCTTTAAAAATAAATAAATAAATAAGTAAAACTAATTACCTCCCCCCAGCAACAACAACAAAAACATTTAAAAAAATTAAAATTGTGAATTTTGCAGGGTCAGGAGTGTGTAAATTTTTTTTGTTTTCCTCTAATTGTTGTAGCAGGAGTGCTGGCCCGTGCAAACTTCTGAATTCTACCCAAAGAATAGAAGTCCTGTCCTGCTTTCTTTATATTTCCTTTTTATCCCCCATCCTGAGTTTTGCTGGAATGAATGACACTACTTTGTTTCTGTCTTTTTGTGATTTGGAAGTTCCATGTCCTGTTTTCTGGTTTCATAGTCTCTAACAATTTTAACAAATATTTTTATTTAAATATCAATAATTATATAACTCCCCTCATATAAGACAAAGGCTTTATTTTGCTTTATTTCCTCATCTCCCCTCTCTGGCTTCTCAGCCGTTATGGATGGTCACAGCTCCTTAAATGGTCATCTGCCCTTGAGTCTGTTACTTCTGATGGCATCTCCACCTCGCAGCCCCAGAAATCTTGTATGTATATATGTATGTATGTGTGTGTATATATATATATTTTCTTTTTAATTGAAGTATAGTCAGTTTATAATGTGTCCGTTTCTGGTGTACAGCATAATGCTTCAGTCATACATAAATATACATATATTCATTTTCATATTCTTTTTATCATAAGTTACCACAAGATGTTGAATATAGTTCCCTGTGCCCAGGAATCTTTGTGGAGTGATCAACCCTCCCCAACTGAACCCTTCAGTAGCTTCCCATAACCCTCCCAATAAGGTCCAGACTCAACTTAGCACATAAGGTGATCTCTGGGCCCTGCCACCTTTTCTGGCTTCATCTAAAAAAATCCCTTCTCCCTAAAGAGAAGAAGTATAATAAACCGCAGAAGCATCTGGGTCAGGTCAGCACATGAGGGAATCACCACATGGTGATGGGCCTCTGCACCCCCACCTGCCCCTTTCCCTCTGCAACAAGCCTCTGAAGGGCCGGGACTGACTTTCCTTGATGTTCCCAGAACTGAGCTGGAATGTAGTAGATGGTGAGTGAATGCTTGTTGGATAAAGGCATGAATGGAGGGATGAAGGAGAAGGCCATTTCTCTGGACAGGCCTGGGCTCTTCCCAGGGCAGGAATGGAGGAGCCCTGGGAAACCTGAGAGGACACACTCGGAGGTGCCTCAGGTGGCTGTTCAATAAAATAAGGAAAGACCCGAAGAGCAAGGTGGTTGTGGTCATCAGAGACAGTTAATTACAGAAAGATAAACCTTCTCAAGTTTGAAAAAAAAAAAAGGAGGGGGCCTGGCTGTGTTAGAAAGCACTGGCCTGCCTGGAAGCCACAGTGTCCCCGTCTGTTCAGGCCACTGTAACACGATACGAGACTGGGTGGCTTATCCATGACAGAAATGTACTTCTCACAGAGGCGGCGAAGTCCAAGATCAAGGTGCCGGCAGCTCAGTGTCTGGTGAGGACCGCTTCCTGGCTCAGAGACAGCACCTTCTGGCTGTGTCCTCATCTGATGGAGGTGCTGAGGGCGCTCTCTCAGCCCTGTTTTCTGAGGGCGCTCGTACCATTCATGAGGGCAGAGCTCATGACCTCATGACCTAGTCACCTCCCAGAGGTTCCTCCAGTAATACCATCACACTGGGGGTTAGGTTTCAGTGAATTCTGTGGCAGACACACAGTCAGTCCATAGCAATCAGGAAGATCGCCAGGCTGCTTTGGGGACCACGAGGCCAGTCCTTTCCCCCCTGGGACTGTGTGGCTTTCATCATAGCTTCTCTTTGTGAACCTGCTTCCTTTCCTTTCTCTCCTTTCATATGCCTGTCCTGGAAAATGGATAGCCTCGTCCTGCCTTTCTGGTTTGAGCCCTCCGAGGCTGCCTGGAGCCCCTCTGTCCCAGTTTCAACCTGGGCTGGGTGCCTCAGCTACAGCCTGAGAAGGGTCCCATGACCCACTGCCTAAGGGCGGTGCCAGCAGGGGTGTGGGCAGGGCAGACTGATTGATTGACAGCCACCAAGCAATGTTTTCTCAGTCTCTCGTTTTCATAAAGTGAGTGTTGAGTTCACAAACTTAATTTTCAGACAGTTATTGGGGTACAATAATTCTACCTGTACTGAGTTAAATTCTACTTTTCTTTGCAGTTCCCAAAAGCTTATCTGTGCAGAAGAGAAATATCCGCCTGGTAAAGAGAAAAACACTATCAACCCAAGTCAGACTGTTTTTGAAAGGCAGTTCACTCCTTGAAGGTCAGCCCGGAGAGTAAAAGGCATGAGAAGAAGGGTCTGGTGAGCAGGGATCTGGGGGGAGCAGGGCTGGGATGGAACAGCTGTACAACTCCCACCCTGACAGTGAGCACTGAGTCCAGAATCTACTGACAAATCCCTCCCTCTCACGTGGGCTCCCAGGGCAGAGCAGGTAGTAACTGCAGGAGGGAGTGAAAAAGAGGGGGCAAAGGAAGATTAATTTTAAGCAGAAGCAGCAGTGAGGTTGCTGCTGGGCTCAGTGCTGCTGCCCAGCCGGGCACCCTTCAGCAGGGGAGCCATGCGTGAAGACCTTCAGAAAAGAAACAGATTGTGGGACCCTGGACTCCACTTTCGTGGGACAGATTGTGCCTTACAAGGTGAGGGATCTGCCTTCTAAGATTTCCTTGGCTCTTTTTCCTGAGTTTTTTCTCTTCTGACATTTTCCTACCATTTACTACATATTACATCCAAATCAGAACGAAAATTTATTCTCCTTAGTTCAGGTACAGTAGGTAGGAACCTTTTGAAATGAAATTTATACTAAAAAAATCTAGGGCAAAATGTAGTCTAGCTATATAAAAGGTACTTATATGCAGGAAATTTCCATGCACACATTTCCTGTCCAGAGCTCACACCCCAGTTGGCACAGCTGACAGCTCACGGCCTATTGCCCCCTCCACTCTCTCTCCCACACCCTGTCCCCTAAAGCCCAAGGGTCAGGATGCTTCCAGAGGAGGCTCAGGGCACTTGGTAGGTAATGGGTTCAAGCCCTCCCGAGTGATCTGTAGATCTTTGTGTCTCCTTCACCCACCAGCCTGGCCCCTTCCCTCCACCACACACAAAGCTGTCTTTCTAGCTTGAGAACCTTGTTAGTTAGGTATTTTGTGAACCAGCTCCTCCCCAGTTCCACTGTTCTCCCCAGTCTCTCCAGAGAGAAGCAGGGGCTCCCTGTGTGTCAGTTCCCTCTGAGCACAATGCTGTCTGAGAGCACAGGGAGCCCTCAGTCAGGTCTGAACATGTCAGCTCGGCCCTGACAGCAGGGTAGCCGAACTGCTGTTCTCAAGAGACCAGAAAGTGGAGTATGGTTTACGCACACTGGGAGTTTATTTTTCACTCCTGTACCAGACAGAGCTGGGTGGGTCTGCAGGTCGGTAGGCCATCCCTGTTTCTTGCGGTCTTTCAGGCCCCTGGCTGAAGGAACGTTTGTCATCTCCGCACCTGGCTTCCAAGGTTGCCCCGGGAACTCATTCCTGTCAGCCTGAGAAGGGAGAGGTCACGGAGGAATTCTGCCCTGGGAGTGTAGGTGGATGGGGACCCAGTCACCAGGTGGCCCCTAACTGCAGGGAGTAGGTGCTGGGAAGAGCAGTCCCCGGCCGCTCTGAGCAGTGGCAGGGAGAGCAGCATCTCGTGGACAGCTGGTCATCTCTGCTACACCGTAAAAAGGTAGTGCTGCGTGGAGTCCAGAGACACGGAAGCCCTGTCTGAGAGCTGCAGACACCAGACAGAGTGAGGGGGAGGTGAGGCGGGGCTAGGAAGCTGGCCTGGGAGATGAGTGGCCATGGGCATTGGCCCGGAAGTTCCTCTCTGCCCCGTAAGCCCCTCTTCCCCACCCTACGCTCAGCTCTCCTCTTCTGTCGTAAGCTTTAGGAGGCAGACAGCACAGGCCTGGATCCTAGACGGCGGGGGAAGGCCAGCAGAGGTGGGGGTCCCAGCCTGCGCAGAGAAGAGTGATGACAGCAGAGGTCCTGGCGCAGCACCTGGCCGCCCTGCAGCGGGGAGTCAGGTGAGGTGGCCAGGAATCGTGCCCCGAGGGACCGCTTGTAATAAAACTTTGCTGAACTTTAGTTTGCAGTACTTGTACAACAGTTAAAGTACTGCCCACGTCCTTTCTCTCCAGAAGTGGAAAAATATTGCAAGCAATATCCGAGTAAGAACAGCTGCTGTTTACTGCGCTCCTGTTGTGAATCAGAAACTGCATGAGGTATCTTACATTCGTTTAAAAAATTTCCTAGCGAGGCAGGAGTATCATGTCCCGTACATGAAGCTCAGAGGTTCGGTAGCTTGCTCAAGGTCAACTGCAGAATTTGAAAGTGTTCTTTTTTCCAGGTGCAGTCTCCCTGGTGCCGAAGCACACGCTCCCTCACCAGGGCACACGCCCTCCTCACAGCCACTTGGACTTTTTGAGGTTAGTCAGACCGCTCAGAATTTGAGTTCCCCCCGGAGGGTGGAGCTGCCCCACTGGCCCGCCAGGGCGCCCGAGAGGGGCTTGCTGGACACTCCTCAGGCCGCTCAGCCCCTCCCCAGGCGATGTAGTCCCAGGGTGCCCCCTCCCTTTCCTTGCCTTTCAGAAAACCAGGCTCATGTTTTAGTCAGGAGAGAATGTGATTTCTTAAGGAGCAAAGCTGTGTTCCTAAGTCCAAAGGGGTGACTGGAGTTGCTGGAAGTACTTACATTAAAAATCCTGTCGTTTCATAGAAGCCATCTGACTCACATCCTGTGAGCTCCTCTGTCCAAATCGGACAACCCTGACACATCTAATAAAGGAGAAATGGCACTGGCCACAGTTCATCCCACGAGGAAGTCCCACAGACCCAGGAAAGGGCTATCCTGTAGCTTTGTCATAGGTAACCCTAGAACTGGTTTTAAGCCTGCCTGACCCATCAGTGATAACCTGACGCTCTGAAAGTCAGCCGATCAGAGGCCGACTTCCTGACATCAGCCCACACCCACCTCCATAACCAGCACAGCCCGCTTCCCCAGGCCCTGTAGAAGAGCAGCACTTTGCTTTGCTCAGTGCAGCTGAGCCTGACCAGCCAGACTTCCCTGAATTAAGCAACACACTCAGTTGCCTGTGTTCAGATATTGTGTGTCTCTTCCTTTGACACTGTGCCGTATTTCCTTTATGTCTATGTTTTAGCCAACTCAGTGTCCAGAATCAATACCTGGAATGATGGCCTTTTTTTCACTTGAATATTCTGAATTACGTTTTCTAGTTTTTATTTGCTCGGTGATTACATTATGACAGAAACCTGTCTATGGTGGAGGGACACTTGACTCCTTCATTCCTTCCTTCCAGCTCCTAGAGAAGACCTGCTCCCTGAGAAATCAGGGCTAAAAGACAGATCTTTTCCCAGTTGTATTCATTAACCCAGGGATCTAGTGTCTTTAAGACCTTATTTTTATCAATGTTCAAGGCAGATTTCACACTTCAAAATCTAGAGGCCGAGGAAGCAGGTCTGACAGGTGTGGATGTGGCTCTGGCAGGATTGGGGCAGGGGGAGAGGCAGGTGCTTCTGGAGCTGGAGGGGCCGAGGGGCCCGCTGCCATTTAACTCTGGTGCATTTTCTTCATGGCTAAGTCACCCCGAAGTTTCTACTCAACTAGGCAAGCAGAGGGGCTCACAAGGGGACAGTCTAGCTCCCACAGAGATCAGCCATTCTAGCCATCAAAGAAACTGAGCCCCAGAAACAGTAGGTCAAGTGACCGGAGTCACAGGGCAAGCCAATGGCAGTCAAGTGAGTGCTTCCCCTCCATATTCTGTCCTTGGTTTTTCTCCCTGTTGCAGAAAAGAAATTTGGTTTTGTCATAAGCAACCCCTGAAGTCACCTTTTAAAAGCCTTTCACATAGAAAATAAGTCAGGCTTTGAAGAAGTTACATTCATAACTTATATTTTTATTCTCTTTCTGTACATATTGGCAATGATAAAGCTTAAAGATGCATGTCCTGTGACATACACAAAAACAAGGACTTTACATAAATAATTTATACTTCAGAAAATTAAAGTTGAAAAATATTTTCCGTGTCATTAGAGTTCACAGTATTTAAAGGAAATCAAGCTTTCCCCCTTAGATTTCAGACTACATAGCCTCAGCAGAGGATGGTAAAATCTAACCAGGAATAAAATGATTGAGTTTGTTTTTATTCAGTGCACGAGCAGACACTATGTCGGTATCAGGCTGTTCCCAGGCGGAGGCTGCAGCATTTCTTCCAGTCCTTCACCTCCTGAGTGGCCGTGACCCAGCAGAGGTCACATGGCATGGAATGGTTAGAGCATCACCCAAACCACCCACAGTGGACACATTCAACCAAGTGGTAACGTCTGGTGGTCTGATGCCTCATTTCCACGTAATACTTTTTATAGCCCTGAAAATGGAAACCTTGGCATCTAAACACAGCCGAACATGTTAACACTAATACAAGGCACTGTACTATGGGGTTTGGTTTATTTATAGGAAGGATCATGTTTGCATAGATTGCTAGCGATTTAGTGTGCAATAAAATAGAGGCCTGGCACGCGCGGCCTTGCGATGGGTGAAGCCGCCTGACGCTCCTCCAGCTGAGGGGCTGCGCCGGCGGTCTTCTCCAGCCCAGGCCCAGAGGGCAGAACCCCGAGGCCCCTACAGGAGGGTTTTTTGCTCAAAAAGCTGCAGGTCAAAGCGGACCCAGACCTCCCCGGTGGGGACCTCGTGCAGCAGGAGTCGGCGGGTTGTAGGGCCTTTGCTTTCCTGTTCTGTTCGAATTTTTGCCACTGCAACTTCGGTGCGACCCAGGAAATCTGGTGAATAGACACGTGAGAGTCAGAAGTCTGTCTTCTTTAAAAAAAATTGTTAAAAACTACCACAGGAGGAGTGTCTGAAGGAGGATTCATAAAACCTTCAAATCTAAGACAAGTAGGTTCTGGTCAAGGGCTGTTGGACACTGAATGGATGTGTGCAGAATGAGGGGTTTGTGTGAGGGAAACTGCCTCTTGGGAATCCAAGTCTCTTTGGTTGGGGAATGTCTCACCCCCTCAGGCGGTGCCAGGAGCACAGCGTTTCCATTAGGGAAGCACAGGTAACTGGGGTCAGAGACCTGAAACAAAACTGAGGCCACCCAGCCACCCCTTCCCCCTGAGAAGGTGCCCCACCTGCTGCCACTGTGAACTGCTGAGGACCATGGCCTGTGTCACTGCCCTTCAGTATCAAGGGGCGACAACAAGTCAGAGCACCCTGGCTCCGGACCCTGGATCCTAGAGTACAGGGGGACCTCCAGACCCCCTCCCCGAGTTATACTTTACCATCTGGTGAGAACTGGTCTCTGTCGAACATGGTGAGACACAGCACATCCTGATAAAGATCCTTAATGAAGAACTGGCAGTTAAAATTCCACTTGGGATTTAGTGTGTCCTGGAGGGTCCTGGTGGTGTAGCTCTGGGAGCCCATGCTGATTTCACAGTATGGATTGCTCTTTCCTGAACAAAAACAGACCAACATGCATGTGACAACGGGGTCTTCTGGAGCAGAAGCAGGATCCAAACAGATGCTTCTCTGTGGACCAGGGCAGCAGGGGCCACTGCTGGAGGGCCCGCCTCTGCCCGGTAGTCTCTGTTCCCATTGCTGAAGCATCATAAACCCCGGGAGTGACCACGCAGGCTGCACGGCCAGGGCGGCTCCCCGTGGGTGTGTGCCAGAGTAGCGTGATTTGTGCTTTCTCCACTCAGAGCTCTGAGGAAGGAGGCACTGGAAGTTATTGGGAAAACAGAGTGATGATAATATTGGTCTGATAACCATTTTAGTGGCACTGGAAATATTTGTTTTCCTTTGTTTTTGGAGGGGGAGGTAATTAAGTAATTATTTATTTACTTTTATAATAGAGGTACTGGGGACTGAACCCAGGACCTTGTGCACACACTTTACCACTGAACTGTACTCCCCCCAACTTTTTAAAAGTGTCCCATTATTCAATGTTCAGAAGAGTCATCAGCAAAGCACGAGGTAGCTACCACATCTGCAGGATGAAAGAAGCATTTACCATTTGGTTTACAGGCTTTTAGTTCCGTAGCTTCAATGACATGCACCATCAGACGCCCAATGCCTGAAGTCTTTTGAGAGCGAGCTACAAAAGAGGAAGATGAACGACGTTAATTTCTTCTCTGAAAATGCAGATAGCACAGTGATGATGCTAAGCTGCAGATACTCACAGTCTGTCTTCCAACCAACCCCAGAACTCCCCAGTCTCACCTGTCACTGAACTGGGCCTGGCAGACAAGCACCTGGCTGCTCTGTGCCTTTGCCTGTGCCTTGGCCGTGTCACCAGCTGGGATACCCTGCTGCCATCTCTGTCCGTCAGCATCCTATACATCCTTCAAGATGTAGGTCCAATCTCACATCTCATCTCCCGGACCCCTTCCCTCCTCCGTGCATCCATTATCCTTGCCTTCTGAGCATCCCACAGCCTGCTGGGTCTGAAGTTCTGTGTCGGTCCATGTCCTCTGCCAGGAGGGGCCATGGCAGAGCAGATTGTTTATTTAATATCCCTGTATTAACCCCTCAACTTCTGGCAAATAGTAATATTAGTAACATCGTAATACATCACATTCATTCAGCACTTAAAAGCAGCTACATTTATTGGATACTTACTTTGTGTTAGGCATGTGCTCAGCCATGACTTAAGGTACCTCTTTATAACTGCTATTCCCGTATCTGAGAAAGCTGAGTCTTAGAAAGGACTATGACATGCGTATGTCACAGAGCTTCTAAATGGCAGGGCCGGAACTTAAACATCAGATACCAAAGCCTATTTTCTTAACCACTCACCATAATTCTAATTATATGTAAACACTTCAGCTTCTAAAGTTTTACTTAAGACATTATTCTACTCAAGGAAGTACTCAAAACCACTTTTAATATGGAGAGAAGTGAGTCAGTGAACTCAGATTATCTTGGCAAATATACAGTCAGTCAGGCAGGTGAGGGGTTTAGAAACTAAACAAAAAGCTGCCTGGTGAGCGACTGATCTTTCAAAACTCAGGGCACGTAGAACCTTCTCTGTGAGAAGTCTCTGCCCCTCCCGGCATGGCACGTGTATTCAGCTCCCCCTTGAAGGCAGGGCTGGGCCATTTTCATCTTTGTAGGCCCAGGTAAGCCCAGCACCGGGCCTGGCACAGAGTAAGTAATCAATAAATGTCTAAAGAATTGAACACGTGGAAAGTGCACAACAATACTGATGTTGATGTTAAGCAAAACTAATACAGAAAAACTTTGATTTATATCTTTGACCAATTAAGAGATCATTATGTGCTTTCTGAGAGGATTCAATCATTGATTTTTCAATAGCAAGTCTTTAAAGTACTATTAAAATAAGATTCAATTAGCAGAAGCTGATTTACACATACCTTTCAGGAGTATATAACAAAATAAGGGAAACCTGAATAAAAAAACATAAAGAGCTGCAACCGCAGCAGCCAGAAACGTAAGTGGGAGGACTGGTCAGGGAAGGGCCACGTGCCCCGGCCTGGTGGGAGACTGGCTGTGTCACTGGGAGAGGGGACGGCTGGGAAAATGGGGACGAGAACCACGGAGGGAACATACGGGACTCGGCAACTGACTAGAGAGGCCTGGGGGGTCAGAGAGCATGTTTCCAGTGTCTGTGGCCAAGGACAACACTGCCATCCACAGAGATCTCCTGGAAGGAGGCTGGCTAATCCCACAGGAGGAGCAGAGCAGGTGTGTCTGGAGAGGGTGACCACTGAGACCAGGTGACGTGAAGGGGAGAGGCTCAGGCAAGGGCAGAACTCCCGGGGTACAGCAGAGGAAGCAGAATTAGGAAGGAGGTGATGAAAGAAGATTTGGTGGTAGGAGGACCCTCGGTGTATCATGGGGTGCAGGGGGAGGGAGGTGCCTCGATTTCCTGCCATTAGGTAAAGCGAGCCAAGTTTGGGGGGGGGTCACTGGTGCCATGTGATGAGCTATTTGCAGAGTGATGGGGACAGCAAGTGGGTGTGAAGGCTGTGAGTGGGGCAAGGGGGCAAGTTAAGGTCCAGGACCTGGTGTCGGGAGAGGGAGGCTGGTGGATCTGGAGGAGGGCTTGGGTAGAGGCTGGGCGCTGGAGGAGGAGCAGTGGGCTGATGAGCTGAATGGAAACAGGCCATAGAAGTGACGTTTGATGGAGCCAAATGGACCAAGTGGAGGTGGGACTGGTTGTGCAAAGAGAGGACCCCTCTTTCTGGAAACAGGAGTGAAGAATGGGTGTATGGGGAGAAGGGACAAAGACTTCACCACAGAGAGAGGGGGTTCCCCCTGTCTGTGCAGTGGACAGTGGGGCTCCTGCTGTCCGGTCTTGCAGCAAGTCTGGACTTTCAGGCCATTCCCATTTACCCACTTCACTGCAGGAGCAGCGGCTTGTGTCAACGAGGTGGGACCCGCCCCCTCCCCAGGGACCCTGTGGCTGGTTCCGACCCTCCAGGGCACCACCTACTACCTTGATAAGCCTTCTCCCGTTTCTTCTTTTCGGTGTCGATGTACTGTTCAGACGCAGCCTTGATCTTCTGGACCCAGGCCGTCCTGGAGGAGAAGCAGAGAGCAGCCATTGGGCGGCCTTCCCACACCAGGTCCCCCAGGAGCCCCAGGGCTCTGCACTCGCTAACCTCGGCTTTGACAAGTTCCTAGTCACAGCCCTAACATTAATTCAACCCAAAGATTTGCCTGCCAATTAAGGATAAAGCTGAGAATTTCCAGACAGTTCTTGACGGCACCTCACACTACTGGGGCAGAGGGAGAGGATGTGGTGCCAGCTCAGCATGACAGGATGACAGGTCTACTGCACAGAGAGCTGCACGCACAGAGGAGGGGGCGCTCCACCCAAGGACGTGGGACGGGGCAGAGCAGACGCTCTGGCTGGAGTGCAGGGCCTGTGCGGTGCAGGGGTGGGACTGGGGCCGAGAGGCACAGGAGGGACTCAGGAAGCAGGTGAAGGAGCAAGACTGTCCCTGAGGGATTTCGGCAGGAAGTGAGGTGTTGGCTCTCCCATTTCAGGAGATCCTGGGGAGGCACTGGAATCAGGGGGGTGTGTTACGGGCATTTGTGGTAACCTGGCATGTCTAAACCAAGGCCCACCAGTGGGACTGGGGCGGAGGAGACTGGCTGAGGCGCTGAGGATGCAGAATTAGTAGGGCGTGAGCACAGGCTGGAGGGAGTTTATGGCGGAGGGAGAGGTCAGGCTTTCTCCTAGACTTCCAGGCAGGCCACACGTGGTCAGGACTGACCTCTCGTTAATGTTGTCTGTTCGGAGGGTGTAGACCCGGTCAATGTGAGAAATGTGGAAGACAGGCTCATCGCTGGAAGGGTCTGTGGGCAGCTTCACCAAGGCTTCATTCAGGAAAATGGGCTGAAAGAATTGGGGCCAAAACACAGGCTGTGAAATGGGCCAGAACACTCCACCCGCCTAAGTCCAGAGAGTCATCTGTTCTGAAGAGCCTTGCTGAGGAGTAGGGAGGTCTAGTTTCCAGAGCCTTATGCTTAGGAGAAAAGAAACTGCCTCTGTTTCGTGAAAGTAAGTGTCCAGGGGAGATCAGATGTTACTCAGCTGGGGACAGGAGCTCTGAGTGTCCACGCCTGCTCACGGGATAGGGTCTCTCCTCCAGGCACTGACACGTGGCCCTCTGTGTCAGCCTCAGTTTTACAGAGAGACCCGATGCTGAATGTGGGCAGACGGGGGATCACATGTCATGTGCTGGGGGCGGAGATGGACTCAGCTGCAATCCAGCTGGTGGCTGTCAGAGGGCAGTGAAGGCCCAGCCACCCTAGGCTTCTTCCCGGGAAGTGACAAGGAGGCAGGTGAAGAGTCCCATGAGGCCAGGACAGGCTCAAGCAGGAAAGAGGCCTTAAGGTAAAGGAAACACCTCGTTATGCCCTTGATGCTACTGCCAAAAACGTGACGCTTACCGTTTTATACATTTTGAACTGAGCGTTGGACTTAGAGCTGAAAAGTTTCTCAGAGCCCGAGGAAACAGCAAACTGCTTGACCATGTAGGTAAGAAGCAGGAAGTCATTGAAGAGGAACCCGTGCAGCTCCTTATTGCTCTTGGTCTTGTACAGCTTCCCACTGTGCAGCAGCTTCCGGGGCCCCAGGCAGTTGGTGAGCGAGTTGAAAACAAGTTGCTTGAAGAGAAAGAAACTGTCACTTTGTGAGCCCCAGCACCCCTGGAGAGGCCCGTGCCCTGGACCTCAGGGAGCTGCGGGAGAGCTCTCTAGGCAGGAATGTGGCTGTAACCATTCATCTTTACACGAAAGATTCTTACATTTACTTCTCTTCAGAATTCAGACTGGCACAGTGAAACCAATTCCTTACAAACCCACAGAATACTGATTCTACCAGCTGAATTAAAAAA